CTCGCAAGGTTCCTGGAACGTGTTCATTTAGCTGGAGAGAGATCACAGCTGCGTTAACAAGGCAGTGGCAATGTGCAATGCTCTGAACCCCACTGAGCAAACCCAGCCTGTGCTCACCTCAGTTCTTCAGATCTTAGCCTCAGTTGTTTAACCTTGCTGTTCTGATTCTCTCTCTTTTTTCTTTTCTTTCCTTCTTTCGCTGGCGACTACAGGCGACGGGGCTGCATTTTCGGCACACGGACAACATCAACCACTGGCGCGGCGCCTTGGCGGAAGTCGGGCTGCCGTCGGTACGGGATGTTTTCCTCTTTCTCTGGAGCGAGTCTGTCCGGCACCACGCGCTGTCCGATCCCACCTGAGCCTTCCGGCTCCCAGCGTCCCTCTCTCTTGCTCATTTAGACCCAGCAAGAGGTGGTGGTGTCTGATGGTCCCAGCACAGCTTTTGAGAAAATCTTTTTTTTAATATTGAAGTCCTGAAACAAAATTTTAAAGGGTTGTGGGAGTCGGGCTACCCAGCCGTGTTATTGAAGTTGATATCCTGGCTTTTATCAGGAATAGGCTGGACACGATTCTTGGATCGTTATGCCTTTAAACCACCAGCAGGCTAGACAGCCCATCGCCTCCTGTCTCTTGTAACCTTTCTTCTTTTACCTATTGAGAAAGTGAGATTAAAGGGGAACTGCAAAGCTGTTTATATATTTCGGGGTTAGAAAGAATCTGCATTGATGAGGGAATTTCAGACCCCAGTAAAAGTTAAACTCCAGTTTACATCACGGAATTGATTGAAGTTCCAGGCCTGTGCAGCACCATGTAGTGCAATTCTGGAAAAGGCAATGAAACCTCTGGTGACGTGTTGTGGCCTTGATACACTGTAAACAAGCAGGCTTGTGAAAACACCTTTTTTAATCCAACAGAGTTACTGCTCTCGGTTTCGAGACAGCTTTGGCGATAAATGGAACTTGTTTACTTTGCAGATGCAGATCCTGTGGGAACGTTTTTGCGGTGAAGCATCTGCAGCACAACCTGTACTCATTCGCTATTACGGCTCAGTGCGTTAGTCCTTACTGTGACTAGTGAGCAGGAAGGGCTGCGTCTCTTTCTACTGATTTGTACTGTCACGGTTTTGTGTTGAATCTGAAATTTGTCAACGTTTTCTATGATGTCAGTGTTACGGTTTTGTTACTGAGACTTAGTACCCGGTCTGAGCGTTTAGGACTGCAGTTCCCCTCTAAGATCTGGATGGGCACTGGATCTCCAATGATTGACAGCCAGACGCGAGAGCTTGAGAGAGCAGCCCGCATGAATGTGGGGGTGACCAAGCTGCTTACGTCTCGTAGAAGAGAGGGGGGCACCTCGCTCCCCTTTCGCCCTGTGGTACCCCCTGTGCTCCGCTAACCCCTGCTCCCTCCTCGCAGATCTTCTACCCCGAGACCACGGACATCTACGACAAGAAGAACATGCCCCGCACGGTGTACTGCATCCACGCGCTCAGGTCTGTACGCGGGCCGGGGGGTCCGAACAGCGCTGTCCACAGTCTGAGGCTGCGGGGAGACGGGTGGTGTGTGCAGGGGTGGACTGGCTGCAGCTGCTCCTGTCCTGGGTGGGCTTGTGGCTCTGGTGCTCTCCAGAAGGCAGTCTTGGGTCTCCTGCACCTCGAGGCCCTCGAGCCTCCCTCGCCCCTGGGTGACCCCCGTTAGATCATCGGCTGTTCCAGCCAAGGAGTGGGCGTGAGGGATAGCGCGCTGGTCCCATGAGCCTGAGCTGGCAGTGAGAGCTCCTGTTCTCATGGGCCGCAGGGCTCTGTAGCTTTAACTCCACCTCTGAACTTAATCAATCAAAGTTTCTCAAATGCACAACAATACAGCGTGCAGCAGTGGCTGCTGGCAATGAAGTGTCTTTTCTATGAGCTCACCGGGTGGGGGGGGGTAAAAATCACAAAATTCAAGTGACAAAATAAGGTTACATAATAGTGCAATAGAAATTGAATAGAATAAAATAAACTCAGACAGAGCTCGGTATAAATAGAGCTGCTATGTGTCCAGGGTGTATTTAATATTTATGTCTAAGTAGTGCAGTGTGCTGAATATAATGAAAACTGTGTCCATGTAGCCATTACGGGTGATTTGCTGAAGGAGCTGCAGCTTGGTTATTTAGCAGTCTTATTGCCTGGAGGTAGAAGCTGTTCTGTAATCTGTTAGTCTTTGACCGAATGCTTCGATACCGTTTATCAGACGGTAAACAGAGCCTTAACAAGGCCCGGACCCTCACGAGAGAATGGGTGGGTGGACGTACGTGATCCAATCGTTCAGCTGCGAATCAGATGGCCTGAGGAGCCCCTGGTCCATTTCATTTAATTAGCAGCAGCTGTTTGGAGAGCACCTGTAAAACCTACAGGACTGGAGCTGCTGTTTCCTCATCTACTCTCAGCCACCTGTCTGAAGGGCAGCAAACACTCAAGCCCAATAAAGACCTGTTGAAGGAGAGACATGGGTCAATAGGGCTTTCGGTGAAAGCTCTTAGCTCTCCAAGAATCATATTAAAGACCTCGCTTTGATTGATGGATTTGTAGTGTGGTTTTTTTCTTCTGATAACTACAAACTCTAAGCTGTTTTTCTCTGTCTTGTAGCCTCTACCTGTTCAGGCTGGGGCTGGCTCCACAGATACAGGATCTGTATGGCAAAGTCAACTTCACAGGTAGACTGCTTTTTTTTAATGGCGAAATCTGTGACTTCACCTGGTTGTCCAGCTCGTATAATTACATCAGGCAAGGGTCAGGACGCTACTTCCTGGCCTTAAAGGAGCATTGCACACTGGTGAAAGGCACAGAATCTCTCTAGTTATTAACAGAAGACTATGGGGGTGTGGAGTAAGTTTTGAGCCAATATAAGAAAATCCCACAAGCTACTGACAGAGTAAGCCCAGAGGGCCGCTTCAGGGCTAACATTCACACAGGGGATAGGAACTCTTGTGGCGGGTCTGGACATCTCCTCTCAGCCTTGTTTCTGAAGGGGATGTCTGGGATCCTTCAAGAGCCTCGTGGAAAGGATCCTATGTTATCAATAAGCAATTCAGTAACAAAATGATTGAGGTGAGACCAAATATTTTAGATTAACTTGGTCATTAATCTTTTCATATTTTATTAATCCAAGGTCTTATTTGAAGATTCATTCTTGAATTGAGTAACAGAATAGATGTGCATGCTCTTTTATGTTCAGGTCCAGATTTCCTCCCTTGAAGTACTACTTTGGGTTAATGCTGCCCCAAGGAGCATTTTGTGTTACAGGCCAGAGAGATTGTAACCTGGTACTGGAAAGCACAGTACAGGGCTGTGTGTTTCAGTCACTGGTTAGAGTGGGGCTCCACCTGCTGGCTGGCTCCAGTACTGCACCAGCACAGCCGCGCCGGCGGTGAGCTCTCTTTCGGAGTTGAGCTGCTTCCTCAAGTGCCTCTCTGGTTTGCGTGTCCCATCAGAGGAGGAGATCAACAACATGAAGAGAGAGCTGGACAAGTACGGCATCCAGATGCCGGCGTTCAGCAAGATCGGGGGCATCCTCGCCAACGAGCTGTCGGTGGACGAAGCAGCAGGTGGGCGCTGCGCTCGTTGGAGTCCCGCTGCGCTCGGCGGCTCCTCTTTCCCTTTGTGTAGCTCGTCTCGCCCAGAAGGGAGGCGCTTGATGTGTGGGGAGGTGCCCTGCCTGCCCCCTCCAGAGGGGAGAGAGGCAGGGAGGCGTGTCAGATTGTGAGCTGCAGAGGAAAGGTCTGAATTGGGGAAAAAGTAGAAAAACGGGCAGAAAAACAATTCATCTTCGGGTGGGAAGCCCAGCTCTATTGTTTTGCGTATAAAATGCATGGTTTCTGCCTCGGATTCTCACAGTGATGCAGCCAAAAGAGCCCAGCGGCCTGTGATTGGAGCAGCTGCTGTACGTGTGTTAAAATCCAGATACCCTCCACGCAAGGGCCTGATGAAGGAGCTCAGATCTGGGAGGGTCTGCAATTCTCTCTCTCTTCCCATTGGCTGGGTGTCAGCTGGTGCCCAGAGTTCAAACTGGAACCTTTCCAGCTGTGTGAATTTGGACGAGTCGGCAGTCTAATTAAAAAAAAATGCTGCTTCCCAGCCCATCACCCGGTATCGTCTGTGCACAGAACTGTTTGGTTTGCCAAACAAAACCCCCCAAAAAATAGAAGATTGTCAAGCTGCGGAGGTTTGAGTGTTTTCCTTTATCGGTGTGAGAGGAAAAGAGGTTTTGGTTTATCGGCCTTTTAGACTCCTGTCTCTGGCGATGCTAGGGGTGTCCCGCTCGGGTCCGGGCTCCTCGGGGCTGCCCGGTTGCCGTGCCCGCACAGAACTTGCTCTCGCCCGTTTCTGACCTGTCCCCCCCTCTGTCCCTGCCCCGGCAGTCCACGCAGCGGTGATCGCCATCAACGAGGCCGTGGCGCGTGGCTGCCTGGCCGAGACGGCGCTGGCCCTGCGCAACCCCAGCGCCATGCTGACCGCCCTGAGCGACGCCCTGGTGCCCGTCTACCAGGAGATGCTGCACCAGGCCAAGACGCAGAAGGCCGCCCGCGCCTGGGGCAGGGTGGGTACCACCAGCTTAACCCGCCTTCGCTGGACCAGACCGGTCAGCGTGGAGCGTATCGTGAACGCACAGCAGCACTGCGCTCGGCCGCCCCCTGCAGGACAGAAAAACCACGTTTTCAGCTTTAAACCTTTTTTTTTATACAGTAATAATAATTCCAAACACTTCTATAGTACTTTTCTGGACACTCCACTCAAAGTGCTTTATTGGTAATGGGGATCCCCTCCACCACAGCCAGCTCTCAGTGGGGAGGAGGGCAGGGTGATGAAGCCAGCTCAGAGATTATTAGGAGGCCATGACTGGTAAAGGCCAGGGGGGAAATTTGGCCAGGACACCGGGGTAACACCTCTACTCTTTTCGAGAGGCTCCCTGGGTTTTTTTTTAATGACCACAGAGAGTCAGGACTCAGTTGAGTCTGGGACTGTTTTGGTTGCAGTCTGGGGTTTTGAATTCTGCCTGCCTGTAGATGAAGATTCGAACCTGAGCTGTCTCGCCAGCTGACTGTGACCAGGATTCCTCGAAGGGCCCTGTTCGTGGGGTTGGTGTGGCCTGCTAGCTTGTGGCTCTCCTGAAAGGCATTGTGGGAGTTTGTGTGATAATGGCAGGCGTGCCAGAGGAGCTTTCTAATGTCTTCATTCTCCCTGGTACAGGGGGTGTAGCTGTCAATCAAAAAATGACTGTGGTTCTGATGGGCACAACAGGCCTTTTGAACTGATGGCTATCGGTTATTGTTTTAGTACAAGTGACTGACTGTTTCTCTCCATCTCTGTCCCAGCTCAATGGCTCTGAAGAGAAAGATATATACGAGGAGTATTTGACCCAGGCAGAAATCCAAGGCAACATCAACAAAGTGAATGGTGAGTTTTATCTGCTCTGGGGGTGGGTGGAGGAGAATAATTAGATTGTTGTTGTTTTTTTTAAAGAAACAGAAACCAGGTTTTTGTTTCCAAACAGCTGCGGTGACCCCAAAAAAAATATTTTCACTGTATAATTCAAAATTGGAGAAAGGGAATCTTGTTGAGAATATATTCTTCTTAATATTATTATTAATATGTGCAACCCCACCTGGATGATGCGCCAGTCCGCTCCCCACACACCAGCTCTCAGTGGGGAGGAGAGCAGAGTGATGAAGCCAGTTCAGAGAGGGGGATTATTAGGAGGCCATGACTGGTAAAGGCCAGGGGGGAAATTTGGCCATGACACTGGGGTAACACCCTTACTCTTTCTGAGAAACACCCTAGGATTTTTAATGACCACAGAGAGTCAGGACCTTGGTTTTACATCTCATCTGAAGGACGGCGCCTCTTTTACAGTATAGTGTCCCCGTCACTGCACTGGGGCCTCAGGACCCACACAGACTGCAGGGTGAGCGCCCCCTGCTGGCCCCACTAACACCTCTTCCAGCAGCAACCTTAGTTTTTCCCAGGAGTCTCCCCTCCAGGTACTGGCCAGGCTCACACCTGCTGAGCTCCAGTGGGGCCGCCAGCTGGGAGCTGCAGGGTGACAGTGCTGCTGGCTTGACCATGCTTGCTCCGTGATCCGTGAGACCAGGAGCTCGCGGACGCCCGTGGCGTGTTCCTGACGGGCGCCTGGCTGGCGCGGTGCCGTGTTTCAGTGCAGGCAGCGGTGGAGCGTGTGGACGAGGCCCTGGAGCGCGGAGACGCCCCGGCGCTGCACGCGGCCCTGAAGAGCCCCTGCCTGGCCCTGCGGGATCTTCACCGCGAGCACGCCGGCTGGTACCTGGAGCAGCTGTCCGCCGACCGCGAGCAGAAGGCGCTGGTGAGAGACTCGGGGGGCAGGGCTGTGCCTGGAGGTTGATCTACCGTCCCAGCTGCCAGATTTCCTTTTATTTCGTCTCTGTGCTCGGCTCTTTTGCATCTTCACTGCAATTCTAGCAGTAAAGCGAAGAGCAATCAGGGGAGCCCATTCGTTTTGTCCTTTATTTAACGCACTGTGTTCTGTATTGAATCGGCTTTCTCTCCTACCGTCCGGTAAACGGTACCGAAGCATTCGGTCAAAGTCCAACAGATCACTGAACAGCTTCTACCTCCAGGCAATAAGACAGCTAAATAGCCAACCTGCAGCTCCTTCAGCAAATCATCTTCCGGTAATGGCTACATGGACACAGTTTTCACTGTATTCAGCACACTGCACTTGGACATAATATATTGCATACACCCTGGACACAGAGCAGCTCTATTTATATTGAGTTTTGTCTGAGTTTTTTGTTCGATTTCCCAAAGCCCCCCTCCTGTGAGCTCGCAGAAAAGACATTTCATTTCCAGCAACTGCTGCTGCACGCTGTCTTGTTGTGCATTTGATAAATCAACTTTGATGGATTGATCAGCCTCCGCAGGAAGGCATCGTGCTGCGTCTCTTGCGTATGGCCTGGGCGGCTGTCCTGCGCACAGGCCCGTCCTTGATGACCTGCTGTAATGTGTCCTGCAGGACCTGGGCTGTGTGGACGTTCTGGACAGAGAGGAGCTGCAGGAGGGGATCTGCGTGGCCAACGAGGACGCACAGCGCTCCCAAGCCAGTAAGTGGGCTGCTGTTGGAGGTTCGGGCTGGCTTGTCTCGCGGGGATCCTGGAGAGCAGGACTTGGGGGTGGCGATGAAGTCAGTGGAGGCGCCCGCTTTGGAGGCTGAGCCCGAGCCGGGGGCCCGCCTGGACTGCCCACCCAGCGTGTGCCCTCCCGGTGTCGGGATCAGATTAGCCAGCTAGGTTGTTCTTGACTCTCAACAGCAGTAATTTCAGGCTTGCAGGCCTGTGGCGACCAGTGGGAGACATGCTGCTCCTCGAAAGATTTCTCCACCTCTGCAGCGGGTACAGGAGTCACTGCCAGGGGTGCAAGTCAAAACCCTTTGATGCCTCTTAATTGGTTGAGTGTATAATAACTAATTGGCAGCTCCAAATAAAAAAATGAATTGCTTTCATTTGTTATAAAATGCTAAATATAAGGTGAGCATTCTAATATTTTTAGTACTAACTGAATTGCACAGTGCTGCAGCCCTGTAAGGGGAGTGGCGATGAATTGACTTGGCCTGCTGCAGTGCGTCGGGGGTGATATTGTATGCTGGCAGTGCCGCGGGCAGTCGGGGCTCGTTTGATTGGTCTGTCTCTAGCTGGTAAGGGTGTGTCTCTATGTGCAGTGCAGCGGGCGGTCGGTGCTCGTTTGATTGGTCTGTCTCTAGCCGGTAAGGGTGTCTCTCTATGTGCAGTGCAGTGGGCGGGCGGTGCTCGTTTGATTGGTCTACGCCTCCAGCCGGTAAGGGTGTGTCTCTATGTGCAGTGCAGCGGGCGGTCGGTGCTCGTTTGATTGGTCTGTCTCTAGCCAGTAAGGGTGTGTCTCTATGTGCAGTGCAGCGGGAGGTCGGTGCTCGTTTGATTGGTCTGTCTCCAGCCGGTAAGGGTGTGTCTCTCTCTGTGCAGTGCAGCAGGCTGTGTGCGAGATCAACAGGGCCCTGCAGCACGGGGAGGCCAGGGGCACCCTGCAGGCGTTGATGAACCCCGACGCCCAGCTCCCGGATGTTCTTCCCTTCGCAGCAGAGCTGTACCAGCGGGAGCTGGCTCCCCTGCAGGCTCAGAGCGCCCAGGTAGGGCACCCACTGTGCGCCTCTCGGAGAGGACAGTCTGTACAGCATCACTGCAGATTGGGTTTTGACTGTTGAAATCTCCTGTTAATGACAGCCACATGTTGTGAGGGCTGCGTTAATTACAGGGGGTTAAGAGTACCAGCAGTTTGCACTGCTAGATCTTGCCAGCTCATCTAGGGGCTTCACAGTTGTTTTGACTCTGTCTTGCTGAATGTTAAAATGTAAAATTAATGAGATTTAAGCCTTTTCAGTTTTAAGCACTGCAATTTCAATTAGTTTGAGGCCATAATTTGTGATTGCTTTTTACAAACTGTTTTATTAGATTATTAGATTTTTAACTGAACTTCAATGCTATGAGTGCACTGTCATGTGGAGTGACTGTGTTGGCTGCACTCCAGATAACGAGAAGATTCATCTCGCACCGTGAACGGTGCTTCCTCTCTCTGCCACCAGGGGGAGCTGCAGCAGGAGGAGCTCTTTGTTGCCGTGGAGATGTTGTCGGCCGTGGCGCTGGTCAACCAGGCCCTGGAGGCGGGCGACGTCGGCGGGTTCTGGGAGGCTCTGGTCAACCCTGCGGCCGGGCTGGCCGACATCGACGACAGCCTGATCCAGAGGTGAGCGATGACCGTGTAGGGCAGAGAGCAGACAGACAGCGGCTGCGGTCTCACCGAGATTAAACAGCTCTATGAGGACCGCTGCCGTGGTAGAATTCTGGCCATCACAGAGGACAGTCACCACCCCGGGCATGAGCTCTTCACCCCACTGCCCTCAGGCAAGAGATATAAGAGCATATGGACACTTACCACTAGATTCTTCAATAGCTTCTATCCACAAGCAGTGAGACTGGCGAACACATTTAGCCATCCCCCTCGGACCACACCTACACCATCTACCTCATTGTAATTTATTTATTGTACGTCTCCAGTCATTGTTTACACGTCTGTATTGTTTACATTCAAACTGTCTGCATGTTTACTTGCACATTGTCTATTGTTTGTTTGTACATTGTCTTGATGCACTGTTTGCACTTTGTTTTGTTTTTTACACTTGTTTTACAATCGAGAGACTTTCTGTAAGTAAGAATTCCATTGTACCAGCACCGGTTACATATGGCAATAAAGTTCAAGTTCAAGTTCAGACACATTCCTGCAGCTCCGGCTGCTGCGGGCGAGTTTCTCCGTCCGCTGGGTCACCGCGCAGTCAGGTTGTCCCGAGAAGACTGCGGTTCCCAGCGGGATGGCGATTTCCGGGGTCCGGTCTCGCGAGAGAGCTCGTGTCCGAGCGTGTCGGGTTAGTCCCTTCAGCCCGTCTCTCCTCCCGGGCCAGGTACTCCGAGGAGCTGTCCGGGCTGAAGAGGCAGGCGGCGCCACAGGGGGGCGCTCTGCTCACCTGGAATGACCTGCAGGGGGGGATCCACGCCGTCAATGCCGCCATTCAGGAGGAGCACGACCGTGAGTAGTGTCCTCTTCCCCCGCGGATTTGGGGGTTCTGGGGGTGGGGGGGTCTGGTCCTGCTTGTTTCTTTTCTGGCTTTCCTGTGTCATGATGTGTAATATGTGGAGTGGTGGCTCTGTGGCTCAGGATCTGCGCCTGTGGCTGGAAGGTTGACGGTTCGTATCCCGCGGCCGGCAGAGGAATTCTACTCCATTGGGCCCCTGAGCAAGGCCCTTAACCTCAACTGCTCCAGGGGTGCTGTATAAATGGCTGACCCTGCACTCTGACCCCCAGCGTCTCTCCCTGTCTGTGTGTCTCATGGGGAGCAAGCTGGCTGAAAAACAAGAGCCTTATGGATTTTGAGATGAAGGTTGCGGCAGAAACACCATTAAACACCACTGTCAAGAGCCGTTTGAAGGGTTGCTAATGACGGGGGCCGGGAGTAAAATGGCAAATGTGTCCGATGATATTAAGTTGTAATATACCTGTGCAGAGTGGGGACAAGATGTCTTGAATCTGTTGAGCATGTTGTTGTGATACAGCTTTCCATGACCTGTGATGACTACCCACATTTCCTACCTGTAAAGGTTGATTTCTATGGTCCGGATGCTGCCAGTCCAAGCCTCGTCCCTTGGGAAGTCTGTGGGAGTGCACACGGCTTTTACAGGGGAACTATATTTCAGCCTTGTTTCATTAAATGACTGTATAACCTGATTAGAGTTAAATATCATCCATTGGTATTTCCCCCTGCAGAGATTCTGGCCATTGGGATGATCAACCAAGCTCTGTGTCGCAGTGACCCCGAGCGCACCGTGGCTGCCCTGCTGCTGCCCTCCAGTGGCCTGGAGGAAGTACTGCTCGCGAATGCCGGGCGCTACCATGACGTGCTGACCCGTGCCAAGAGGCAGAAAGCGGAGGTACTGGGAAAGGCGGAGGTGGGAGAGAATAAATAATGTAGATTCTCGCAAAACCTTGAACCTTGACCTAGAAATCCCCTGATGCATCAGGCACAGTTGTTCTCTTGGAATTCAAGTTAGTGACCTGATATCGGGTGTATGGGTATTTAATGCTTATGGGTATTTATTGTACGTTTGTCCGGGGAGGCGAGTGGTGCCTTGATCTGGGTCTCTGCGGCTGTTCCTGCAGGAGACCAGAGACCCCAGTGCAGAGCTGTGGCTGGCGGAGATTCAGGAGGGGGTGATGAGAGCCAACCAGGACAGCCAGAGGGCGCTCAAGAGTGAGTCTCCACCACCCCAGCTTGGTTATTCCTGCGTCGTACTAGAGATGTGTCACAGTGCTGAAATATCGGTCACGTTTTAGCATGAACCTTATGTCCATTTCTAAATTACTGGTATCTAAATTGTTTCAAGCTTCCCATCCAGGACTGAATTCAGCTCCCTGCAACCATCTGTCCTTGTTTTAGGCCACTGTTCCCAGTCCTGATCCTGCTGTCCTACACACCTGCTGGGTTTTGTTCCAACTGAGCCCTCAGTCACACAAATCAAACCCTCCATTGGCTCAATAAAAACAAGATGCGTTTGAGCTGTTTGTTCCCAGCTCTTAAACATGTCAGAGCTTTAACCCTTTGTATTTTGTCAGTGAAATTAGATTCCCAAACTTGTGACTGGAAACAAAATATAAATATTTTCTGATGAAGCAGCTTCTCAGGTCGGTTAAAGCTTCAGTGACCTGATGAAGGTGGGCTGGAATGAAGACCAGCAGGAGTGTGGGGCACCAGGACTGGGAAGCACTGCTGTAGGCAGTCTTAAGGATGAGCAGGTAGGTAAATCCCTTTTCAGGCCATAAAGGCCCATGGGGAATGGGGGGCAAGGGCCACCATTTTTCTTGCCCATCCGACACTGGAGGTGGAGGTGATGTGGTCAGCATCACGCTCCGGCCAGCCTGTCACCCCCAGAAGGATTAACCCCCAGTACTCACTTGGAAAGCAGGCTGAGTGGACCTGTGAGCCATCTGGAAGGAATTGGAGCCTGGAAGAATTACTTGGGATTGAACCCGGGACCTTCCGCTCAGGAGCTAGACACACCCTTGCCGTCTGAGCTACCACAGCTCCTAAGGATGAATAGGAGCTTGACGTCTTTTGAGTCTTCTGAAAATTCGAGTGCATTTTCCCGTTTCTAGCGAAAAAGGATTTTTCTAGTATAGCATTAGAAGATATTTGCACGTCATGCGCATGCAGACCAGCTCTCGGCGCGGCGAGTTCTGCAGTGGTCGGCTCTGGTCCGCCGGGGGCACCTGAGCGCACTCACGCGCTCCTCGGCTCTGTTGCAGTGGCGCTGGGCCTGGCCGCCGTCAATCAGGCGGTGAAGGAAGGCCGAGCCTCGCAGACCCTGCGCGTCCTGTGCCTGCCAGAGGTGGCGCTGCGGAGCGTGGCGCCCGAGTGCAGCGCGGCCTACCAGGCGGAGCTGGCCGCCCTGCAGCGCGCCAAGGTTATGGAAGGTGAGGCCGGGATCTGTTCCCCCCCCCTCTGGGGCACTCGTCTGAGACTTGGGCAGAAGAGGGAGAAGCAATTGGGGTTTTTCCTGGAGTTACAGAGGGGTGGGAGGAGGTGCTGTCTGTTTGATTGATTTACAACGCCCCAATCAATCAATCAAAGTTTATCAAATGCACAAGAATAAAGCGTGCAGCAGTAATTGCTGGCAATGAAATGTCTTTTTTGCAAGCTCACCAGGGGGGAGATAAAAATAAAAATCACAAAATTAAAAGCTACAGAATGAAGTTGCATAATAACAGTGCAATAAAAATTGAATTAAAAAAAAACAATATAAATAGAACTGCTACATATCCAGGGTGTATGCAATACATTATGTCCAAATACAGGTAGTGCAATATGCAGTGTGCCAAATATGATGAAAAACTATGTTCATGTAACCTGATCATTGAACAAAGACCATTAGGGTCTTTGACTTAAATCACCTCGAAGATAGATACTTTATTGATCCCGTGAGGGAAATTGCAGTGCAACAGCCGCTTAACACAGACAACACAGCCACAGTGTAACGAATGATACAATAATAATAATACAATACAATCAGTACAGTGAGGGTGCACTAAAAGAGTTACTCACAGTCCAGGACACACAAAGAACAAAAGTTCATTTGGATTAAATGAAATATGGATGACCCTGACTTTTTAGAGAAAGCAAAGCACGTTCATCTGCTTGATGGGGGGGTTGAGCAGTAGAGGTGTCAAGGGCGTGTTGTGTGTGTGTGTGTGTGTGCACGCTGGCAGGTGACAACGGAAGCCCATGGCTCAGACACAGGCAGCCGGACGGGAGCTACTACTACTTCCACCTGCAGAGGCTGGAGGGCGGCTGGGATCGGCCGCAGGGCTTCGTCCAGAACAGCCTGCACCTGGGTCACGACGAGCTGCAGGTCAGCGGGGGGGGGGTTCTTGAGAACCGTTCAGGACGGGCGGCCTGTCTTTTCTCTCCTTCTTTCAAGCTGAGCTGTCAGCCGTGCTTTGTTTGATGTCAGGAGAGATCATATCCACTGTCTCGTCTCATCTGTGATTGGTACAAGTAGCTTTTAAGGTTTGGCGTTGTGGGGCACACAAGTGGCCCGACTGGTGGAGTCGCTCATGCTGACTGGGCACTGAGCCTCTGCGATCGCAGGTCTGAGCCTGAGCCGCGTCACTAGCCGACTGTGACTGGGATTACCCAAGAGGCAGTGGTAGAGGTAGGTTAGTTGTCTAAAGCCTTCCTAGTGGCCACAGCCCCCTCTGTGGGCTCCCTGGAGCCTGTACTGTAGTTTAGGGGTGACACCAGTGCAGGATACCCCTCTTCTCCAGCTGGAGCTGCCGCACTCGAAGCCTGTAGCAGTCAACACGTACGTGGCTCAGCCAGCAGGCCTGCCTGCCCCTCCTCGTTCTGCCCATGTGGGCACAGGCGTCTTCCCGCAAGCGAGACGCTAGGGCACAATTAGCGATTCCAGATTGGAGGGTATGCCGTTATAAACATTGTCCATTTTAAAAACAAAATGGTTGGAAAGGACAAGAGGGGCAGCAGATGAGTTGCTCTAAATGTGAAGAGATCCAGGTTAATACAGCACTGATTTACAGCAGAGAGTGCAGATTGAATATCAGCAGCATCAGGGTGTTACTGTATCATTGTTTCTTGTGTCAAGAGGAGCCCAGGGTGCTGCAGCCTGCAGTCAGAGAGACGTGCCTGGTGTTTAACGCCGACTCCAGGCGGCTCAGGAGTCTGGTTTGTCTTTCCCAGTCCGTCGTCTCGCGGGTCACGGAGGCCCACGGCCGCCAGGCGCAGTGGCGGTCCAGCCAGCCCCTGCTGGTCCTGCTGCAGGCCCGGGCCCGGGGCTTCCTCGTGCGCCGACAGCTGGACTCCCGCCAGCGTTTCCTCTGCAGGCAGCTCCCCGCCATCGTCGCCATCCAGGTACACGCGTGCCCCGGGGCCCCGTCTCGTCCGGGCTTGACATCGGCCTTCCTGCAGAACCGGACCGACATCTGTTTCTCTTTGAGCCTCTCTGTCCGTCGTTCGTGAGCTTCGTTCCGCTCTCGGTGTCCGTTTGTCCCTCCGGTCTGTCCGTGGGCTGGAGTCGGGACCCTGACTCGCCTTGTTGTGTTTCAGTCTCACTGGAGGAGGTTCCTGCAGCAGAGAGCGTACAGGCAGAGGCTGCAGTACCTGTATCAGAACTGGCGCGCCGCTGTGAAGGTGCGCATCTTCATCCTTCGCCCTTTTCACTGCTCCTCCTCCTCACCTGAGCTTCTGTGGGCCTGGCCCTGGAGAGATTTTCTTTCTTTATTTTTTATCGCTACGCAGTTCACCGTGACCTTTCCAGCCGGTTAGCCTATACAGCCTTCAAGAAATGGGGCGATCGGTTTGCTTTCTGTGCTCGCAGAGCAGCTACAAACGCAACATTTTACGACTTTTGGCGGCTGCCGAGCTGAGGAGGGAATTATGGGAAGCACCGTAGGTGGTAACAGCAAAGTTCATAACAAACTTGGCAGAACTGGTCAAAGCTGGCGGTGAGAGACTGAGACTGTTCTTGCACAGGGGGTTAAAAACTGTCCCTTTTCAAATGAGTATTTCCAGTTGTTACTTCCAGTATTTCCAGTTGTGCCAAGAGCCAGTAAAAGCGCAGTGGCTCCGTACTGGAACCAACCGCAGTACCCTTCAGGCTCAGTGCCAGGGTCTGGTGGTGGGGGACAGTGCTGGTGCCTGCAGTTCCCGATTGAGTTTCTTGTCTGGTTTTTCCTGCCCCGCAGCTCCAGGCGTTTGTGCGGATGTGGCTGGCTCGCAGGAGATACCTCGCTCGTCTCCGCCACTTCAGGAGAAACGTAGGTGGAATGCGGCGCTGAGGGGTAGGGGTGTGAGACCGTGTTCAGTATGGCACAGCGGGGGTATTCACCTTTCCCCCTCCCCTCCTGTGGTGATGACAAACACCTGGTGGCGGTTCTGCAGGAAAACCGGTGCTCCCGTTGTCTCCCGCCGTCCAAAGGATGGGCAGACGGGGTTGTGTTCATGTGGCCTGCCCTCCCGCCCAGGGCCTGGTCCCGCCTTGCTCTCGGTGCCTCCAGCACAGGCTCTGACAGAGCTTCCACTGACCCCATTCACTCACCCCCTAGAGCAGAGAGGAGAGGAGGTTCTGGTCATGAGTACAGGGACATCAAGATCCTTGTTCACACCGGCATGACAGACAATACATCAGGGATGGTGATTGTACAGGCAAACAACCAGAACAAACAAATCCGTAGCAGACAAAAATACATGGTAGTCCAGGTGAAAAGTACACTGTGTAGAGGGGCATTGAGTTCTGAGGCCTTGCACGGTTCCTGTAGCTGTTCATGATGTGCACCGCTGTAGGGTAGCAGCTGTCCTTAAGCCTCGCGCTTCTTATAATCCCCTATTATTTCTCCATGCAGGTTGGTGCCATTATAAAGATTCAGGCCTTCTTCCGGGCTAACAAGGTGCGGGAAGACTACAGGAAGCTGGGTGAGCCCCCCGTCGGCGCGACTCCTGCTGCCTGTATTTTCACGGGATTCGCCCTCAACCTCCCCTCCCTGTCCCTGCAGTGGGCTCCCCGACCCCTCCTCTGTCGGTGGTGCGGCAGTTCGCCCACCTGCTGGAGCAGGGCGACTCCGACATCCGCCAGGAGGGGGAGCTGCTGCGCCTGCGGGAGGAGGTGGTGAGGACCATTCGCGCCAACCGGCAGCTGGAGAGCGACCTGGACCTCATGGACCTGAAGATCGGCCTGCTGGTCCGCAACCGCGTCACCCTGCAGGTGAGAGACGCCGCCCCGGCCCCCGGGGGCAGGGGGCTGGCCCTGGAGAGTCGGGAAAGACTGCGTGGTTAAGCAGGAAAACCGCCCTTCTTTTTCCTGGTTTAAATATCCTGTTGTTTTACTCTATCAGATAATGGGTTAATCTATCGCTGGGATCCTAACGCAGAAGCAGGTGAATGCGATCTAGTTTTGCTTAAACTGCCATTAAAACGCAGCCCCTGTTCCGAGCCTCGGATGACCACGTCGCGTGCATCTTTGTCTTCCCTTGGCTGCAGGAGGTCGTGTCCCACTGCAAGAAGCTGACCCGGAAGAACAAGGAGCAGCTGTCGGACATGATGGCGCTGGACAAGAGCAAGGGCCTGAAGTCGCTGAGCAAGGAGAAGAGGGAGAAGCTGGAGGCGTATCAACACCTCTTCTACCTGCTGCAGGTGAGCTGGGGGGGGTCTTTGTCATGGGATAAGAAGCCCTTTGCATTCAGCAGCAGTCAGTGCATGATGTGATCCATGTCCTGGAATTGTTGCATGAACTGGCACACCCGTGCGGTGAGAACTGGGGTCCTAGTCTGGGGTCTTGTTTCTTCCAGATTCAGATATTTTTATTACTACATTTAGAATCACTAGTCTCTTATGCACACGTGCTTTGGAATGGCCAGCTGTCTTCCCCATCTACAAACCCTGGGATTGCGCACAGGGGGTGAAGAGGAATTGCAGGCAACTCCTGCAACCTCATTGCAAGCCTTTGAGTGACCACAGGGGGTCGCTATGTTCCTGAGAGCCAGGAGGCTGACTAATCTTACACCTGTGCTGTACAGCCAACTTGTGCGCCACTCGAACCCGTGATCGTAGAGCTCCACCTGTGCTCTCAGGTGAGCGCCTTTATTGGAGGAGCCACTCAGGAGGCCCCAGTCCATTTTTAAAACAATCTTGCGTCTCGTCATAGCAGCTCTGTGTCCAGCTGACTTTCCGTAGTGCCTGGGTGTGATAAGTTGGTTGGTGGTCTATGATCTCCGTGAGCAGCTTGGCATTGTAAGCAGTGAGGAGCTCCTGCGGGCAGGCCCTGATCCTTGAGGGATTGTTGAAGTCCGTCTGAAAGTTCACAGATGCGGTGCATTGTTTCATCCAGACCCAGCCTCTGTATCTGGCCCAGCTGATCTTCCTGATGCCCCAGAACAAGTCCACACGGTTCCTGGAGACGGTGATTTTTACCCTGTTCAACTATGGCTCTGACTGCAGGGAGGCCTACCTGCTGCTGCAGCTCTTCACTACGGCCCTGCGCCAGGAGATCAGGTACACAATTGCGTACACACACACTCACACCTGCAGCAGCTCTTCACCATGGCCCTGCGCCAGGAGATCAGGTACACAATTGCGTACACACACACTCGCACCTGCAGCAGCTGCTGCGGCTCTTCACCACGGCCCTGCGCCAGGAGATCAGATACACAATCGCAGACACACACACTCACACCTGCAGCAGCTCTTCACCATGGCCCTGCGCCAGGACATCAGGTACACAATTACACACACACACTCACACAACTGCTGCTGCAGTAATTCACAAACTGTCTATACACACAAGCATGACTGATTTCTTAAGAGGCATGAGTTGCAGGACTTCTTCTTTCTGCTGCTGCTGCTTCAAGAGGAGCTGCTCCTGTTGCACCTTGTTCACTCCCAAAGAGACACATGGATTGCCGTGTTCGGCATTCATGCCGAGCAGAGTTTCAGGATGTGCCAAAAGGGTGCAGCAGCTTGCTGTCATCAAGATGGCGAGGTGTCTGTGACAATCGGGGATTCCCCAAGCAGCAGAGCAGAGGCTGAGCTGGTCGAGACACTGCTGGTTCACTCGAGCGTAAGGTAGAGCCACACGCTCGGTCAGCCAGCGGTGACTTCGGCTGGACAGGGTTTGGAGCTGATGCAGCAGTGACCCCTGGGCAGGAGCCTGCAGTGCCAACGGCAAGAGACGTACCTCCCCTCTAGGAGGCTACCGCTCCTGTAGGCCAAATGGGAGGAATGGCATGACAGAAGGGCTGTGATGGGGGGGGTGGCCTCTGTAGGACCTCACTCTCTCCGTGTGGTGCGGGGGGGGCAGCTGTGAAGCCTGGTTGATTAGCATTTGGTGAAACGGGTGGGTAAAATATCAGAAATCTCCGGCTGTGCCCAATAAGTGTGTTATAGATACCTGTAAAGTAAAAGGAACTTTGAAAGGACCTGACTTCTGATTCTCCTCGGGCAGGCTGAAGGTGGATCAGCCGCAGGAGGCCGTGACTGGGAACCCCACTGTCATCCGGCTGCTGGTCAGCTTCTACCGCAACGCCAGGGGCCACAACGCCCTGCGGGACATCCTGGGGCCCGCCATCAGGGAGGTGCTGCAGGACAAGGCCCTGTGCATCAGGACCGACCCGGTGGAGATCTACAAGAGCTGGGTCAACCAGACCGAGTCCCAGACCGGGCAGAAGAGGTCAGCGCCCCACAGGGGGACCACGTCTCTCCCCTTGCGCGGTGTCACATGAACGTAAAGGGGAACTGCAGACCCAATCTCTCAGACCGGCCGTTAAATCTCAGTAACTGAAAAAATTCATTGATATGATAATGACAAATTTCAAATGAAGTATAAAATAATGAGTTCTGTGAAAGTACTGCAAGTCGCCATGCTGTCGCAAACTCAGATTTGAGCTCCCGTGAATTGAGACATGATGCTGCCGTTCCTGCTCACTAGTTAGTGTAGTAGTAATAATAATAATAATAATAATAATAATAATAATAACATTACTTTATTAACCCTTTACAATTTCTTGCATTAGGAATTATCTTTTCGCATACCCCAGCTTGCTCTCCATGAGACACACAGACAGGGAGAGAAGCTGGGGGTCAGAGCGCAGGGTCAGCCATTGTACAGCGCCCCTGGAGCAGTTGGGGTGAAGGGCCTCGCTCAGGGGCCCAACGGAGTAGGATTCCTCTGCCGGCTGTGGGATCCTGAGTAGTAATGAGTAGCTTACTGTGATGTACAGGTTGTGCAGCAGATATCCCACCGCAGAAATGTTCCCACGTGATCTGCATGCGGAGTTAACAAGTTAGTAGTTTTGGTCGGCACATCTGTCTCGAGATGAGGAGCAGTATTTCTGTTGGATTAAAAGAGATTCATTCACAGGCCTGCTAGTTTGCAGTGTAATAAGGCAGCAGCATGTCAGCAGAAGTCTTGTTGCCCCATTCAGAATCTCAGAACATGGCCCTGAGCAGACCTGGAAATTTAGTCTATTCTGTGATGTACATTGGAGGTTTTACAAGTTACTGTATATGTTTTACTTTTATTGGGGTCTGAAATGCCCTCATCAATGCTGATTCTTTCTAACCCCGAAATATAAAAATAGCTTTGCAGTTCCCCTTTAAAACAATCCAATTTAGCTGGCAGGATAGATCGTGTAAGTGACCCCTGCCAGCTGTTCACTCTTCAGATGGAGTGGGCAGCTGATAGGAGTGGCGGATTTCATCTGGAGGAGTCAAAGTAGAGCCACACATCCTTAGAGAGTATTACAAAGAATGTCGAAGCCTTCAAGCATTTTAATAGTGAACCCACTGGGTTTCTTCAGAATCGACGGTGGAAACAAGTGGGGAAGTGCTTTTAAAACCGAGAACCAAGGTGTTGTTTTACACAAAGGCTGGTGGAAGTGTGGAACAAGCTGTCCAGGCATGTTGAGGATGAAACCCTGGATTCCTTTAAGAGACAGCAAGTTGAGATGCTTGCGTCCATTATCTGCTTACTACCAAACGCATTTAGACCACCTCTCAGATATAACCTTGTGCTCTAATTGGTGAATCTCAATTACAGTTTAACTCATTCAGGCTCCACATATGCAAATGCACTGACAGTATGAGGTTGTCTTCTTTTGGCGTTCCTTTTGTACCATGAATCATTAAACATACAATCTGAAGAGAAACCAGACTGTAGTGTAATTACACATTAGGAGTGTAATAACTATAACACTATTCATATATGTTAAATATTAATTGAAATAAGGCGCCTTATTAAGCACTATTCTTTGATATAGCCAAGGAGCACCAGTGCAGTTGGAATGTGAATATTTCCTGCTTCAGGGGCGATTTTAAAAATGTTGTCCTGTCTGCGCAGCTCCCTGCCCTACGAGGTGAGCGCCGAGCAGGCTCTCAGCCATCCCGAAGTCCAGCGGCGCCTCGACATCTCCATCCGCAACCTCAAGACGCTGACCGACAGGGTGCTGGGCGCCATCACCTCCGGCGTGCACAAGCTCCCGTGAGTCTGCCCTCCTGGCTGGGTTTCTTCTGACCACCTGCCCACGCGGACCTCTGTCTCTCTGTCTTTTGTAACTAGTTGTCCATCTGTCTTGACTGCCTTACTGTCTCGAGCCTTGCTAAGCTTCCTTCCATCTCTGGCCTTCTTAGTTTTGACCCCGAGGTCCATGTCTCTGTTTCTCCCAGTCTCCAGCCTCCCCGAGCTGCTGTCAGTCTGTTTCTCTCTTCAGCGGTCTTGCCTACAGAAGCTGACCTGAATCAGTTTCTGTTTGTCAATAGCTGTCTCTCCTGCAAGCTCTGAGACACTTTCGTGTCTGTCTACACCTGCACAGACTGTCAGGACTCTGTTTCTGCATCACTTCCTTTCTCAAAGAAGAACAAGAAAATGCACCTTGGACTGCCTGTCCTATGTCAGCACAGCGATCTGTCTTTTGCTGCTTTTAAGCCAGATGCCCTCAGTCGGTGCGGTCCAGCAGGTTTGATAGGTTGTTTTGTATTGTCAAGCAGCAGGTTCCCAGGTGTAGAATCATTGCATTTCAGATAATCATCAAGTCAAGTACTTAGTGGAGGAGAATGATGGGAGTAATCTGATCGTGTGCAGTACCCCGGGAGCTCTGTGCCATTTGGGCAACAGTTGTGAGCTGCCCAGCTGAGAGAGGCTGGGCCGGGTCAGTACTGGAGCCCTGCAAGAAAACACCATCCTGCTGCTGTAAAAGTCAGTGGCGCAGGTGGTCCAGCAGGAGGCGCTCATCCCTGCCGACCAGCAATGTCCCAAAAGCAGCGCTGCAGCAGGACGAGAGGAGACGCAGGCGATTTCTGCATGCCAGACGTAGCCCCGAGCTCCTGACCGCTTGGTCAAGATTGGGGCGCTGCTAACGAGCGCGGGCGTGTTCGCCCCATCGCTGCTCTGGGCCTGAGCACTCCGGCCTTCCTCCAGGTCCTCTTAATTCGCTGAGTAAATTGATTTCCCGCCTCAACTTTTTGACCCGCTTTGAGGTGAAAAGCTCGGTAGGGCTGCATGGAACCCTCCGAAGCCCGAACGGTAGCGCTCAACTCTCCCGACTTGAGATGCGCGAAAGGATTTTGACGGCCTGCGCTCGTCTTCGCAGGTACGGGATGCGCTACGTCGCCAAAGTGCTGAAAGAGGCGCTGCAGGAGAAGTTCCCCCAGGCCAGCGAGGATGAGCTCTACAAGGTAGGTCCGGCTTCTGCGCTCTGAAGACAGCAGCTTGTTGTGTTCGCCTGCTGGGAGCCACTGTGCCCAGTGGAAGAACATTACAAGAGGGTCCTGGTGAAAATAAATGAATCGCCTTCTCTGATTTATCTCATCAGACATCTCTCCCAAGTAAAGGCTTCTGTAACTATGCAAAACTTAATAGCTTACTGAGAAAAACTCTCTTAGTGACCTGCATCAGCACTTAGATTATCAGCAGCAGTTAAATGACATTGACCAATACAGAAGTGAAGGCTCGCTCTTTTTACAACCTTAATGTGTTTAATGTGAAGTCAGACAGGTGTTTTGATAGTAGTACGTCTCAGTGGATAACCGATCTCTCCTTGGGGTCAGATGAGGTAGACGGGGATACAGTCTGGCTGAATGCCAGTTATGCAATTAGTCATACACAATTAGCTGCTTCAATATAGACTTTAAATAGACGGCAGTATATTCCCAAAAAATCTGGAAAAGGTAAAGTTGTATCGCACAGGAATGTGTGCAAAATGTAATACTCTTAAAGGATCGCTACTGCATTCACTGTGAGACTGTCACTCTGGACCGCCAAACTTAAATATTTCAGTTTCACCATCTACCGTTTTTTGCATATTGGGTGTTTTTTATCAGAAGTTAGATCACCAATTCAACATAAAAATGCATTTCTGCCCCTAAGAATGCAATTAAACAATGCCTAAAAAAAAAAATCCTGCAAAAAAGAAGGAAGTAAAACAAAACCCCCCAAAAAAAAAGGAATAAAGAAAGAAGAATGCAAAATTAAATTAAAAAAGGAAGCCAAAAAAAAAAAAAAAAATGCAAAACGGAATAACCCGGAAGGGGCCCCTTAAAAAAAAAATTGAAAAGCAACGGGGCCCAAAAAAAAAGGAAGAAAATGGTCCTTTTTTTTGCCTACTCCTATCATAATTTTGTTCCTCACCTCTTATCCTGACAGTTCATCAGGGAATTTCAAACAAATCACCATCTCTTTAAAAGATAAACACTTGATTAGCCAGAAAAAAACATCTACTTTGTTACCATCCTTGGATGTGATTCAATACGGATGAAGCGCATCACTTATTTTAAGACGATACAATGATGGCTTTGGTGTTGACATCAGGAGCCTGTGAAAAGCACAAGAACAGAAGCACATGAGAAATTCATATCAGTTTCAAGCATGCAAAAATACAGACTTGTCACAGTTAACAAGGTATCAGGGTTGGGGCTGATTTAAAAAATGCTAATTAAATGGTTGTAATTATATTAATAGGAGAGTAGGACTTTGCATTCCAGGTGCTTGAGTCTGTTGGTTGTTGTTTTGAGTAACTTGCACCACAGTTTTAAACTACTTACAGCTCTGGAACTGTAAAAGATTTCATAAGCGACTTGAGAGCTGATCCTTTTTAGAAGCAGGAAACCGTCCTAATGGGATTAATCTATCGGGTTATTCCATGGAAGAAGGAAGCAGACACTACAGTCACCAGGCCCAGGAAATCCTGACAGTCACACTACTGTACTTCTGGTGCTTCACACTCTCCTGACCCATAGAGCCAGGGTTTTCTAGTGTACAATTACCTCCATTCTCGTCTCCCTGTGTTTTTTTTTCCCCCGTTTTTGGAGGGTTTTGGGGATATCACAGGTTTGAACGCCCCAGTCTGGTTTCTTGCATTTTCCTGCTGCCACCTCCAGGAGAAAGATATGAGATCTGAGTACGTGCATGTTAAGATCATTTTAAGATGTGTGTGTGTGTGTATTGGAGAAGCCAGGATGTTTTCAGTCCAGTATGAAAACATGAAAGTGCAGTGAGATATGAGAACAGGAGGCATTTGGGCTTTATAAGCCCAGTACTGGTGTGCACCATGATAAGTGTGTGTCTCTGTGCCTGGGGCAGATCGTGGGCACCCTGCTGTACTACCGCTACATGAACCCGGCGGTGGTGGCTCCCGACGGCTTCGACGTGGTGGACTTCTCGGCCGGCTCCTCTCTGCTCCCGGACCAGAGGCGCACCCTGGGCTCCATCGCCCGCATCCTCCAGCACGGCGCCGCCCACAAGCTCTTCCAGGGGGACAGCGCCCCCCTGCGCGCGCTCGACGACTACACCACCCACACGCACGCCAGGTTCAGGTAGGTGGGGGGAGACGGAGGAGGTGGAGGGGGGGGGGGTTCCTATCCCTTGCTGTGTGAAAAAGGCTGAGCAGGTCATGACCCACCCCTGCCTCAGATTGGCTCGTACATCCAGCTACTAGCGGGCTGTTCCCAGTAGCCGCAGTGCGGAGACGGCGTGGGGGCGCAAGTCAGACACGAGCCCCCGCGGCCAGAGGGACTCCACACTCACCTCTGGGTTGACCGCTCCTGGGATTGCGGTGGACCAAGGGCAGCCCCTGGACGTGGGCAGCAGTGGGCAGTGCCCTCCCCAGCCATTCCCCAAAACAAAGCTAAGAAGTCGGCTATTTTCCTGACGCTAGAGATGTTTTCCAGACGTCAACGAGGCTTGGCAAGGGGAGGGGCTGCCCGTGAGGTTGACACTGCCCTGACCGTGAACTGCTGTGCTGGTGCAGTGCCTCCAGGCTCATGGGCTGGAGGGCACTCTGTGGGCAAGAGGCTGTCCTGTGCTCCCATGCAGAACTCATTGCTGCACAGGACTCGGTTTTCAGAGCCCAGCCGCCCGACTTTCTCAGCAGCCTGCGACCCGCGCGACTCCAGGTGCATGCTGGGAACGCGTTTATGGGCTGCGCTTTTCACCGACGTCGGGTCTAAGATCTCCGACGGGGATACAGAGCCTGTGTGAAGTGGCTCCTGTTGTCTGAAGCTCTAGGGTGAGCGTTATGGCTCTGTGGAAGACTTCTTTTCTCTGTGCACGCTGAGGACTCGCTGTGCTGAGAGACTCGCGCCGCTGTTGGGGAAGAGCGACGGGGCTGGTTCTCGCGTCTCTGGGGCCCTCTGCTGGCCACTGGTGGACTCGGGGGGTGAGCTCAGTGTCCCAGCTGCTTTCCATCCTGTGCAGGAGGAAAGGGCTGAGTGGCTTGTCCTGCAGAGAGTGGTAACTGGGGTCCCTCCTCCCTCACTTTGGGGTGTCACGGCAATGCTTGTAAAACCCCCCGCCCGAACCCACCCCTCTCTGTGTGCCCCCAGGAGGTTCCTGCGTGCCGCCTGCGAGGTGCCCGAGCCGGAGGAGCGCTTCAACGTGGACGAGTACTCGGAGACGGTCACCCTCAACAAGCCCGTCATCTACATCTCCGTCGGGGAGCTCGTCAACACGCACCAGGTCAGCGGCACGGGGTCCCCCCACCCAGAGCCAGTGTGCACAAGCCGTGTCCTCTTCAGCAGCTGGCAGCCGACTCGGGCACAGCCTCTGTATCTGCCCGCAGTGCGTCACCCTGCTGCTGCCCACAGAGGCCCAACAGCCAGCAGGCCAGGAAGCAAAGGGTTGGGGGAAGGCTGGAGCCTGATTGCAGCTCACAGGGTTCATGTCTCCTACTCCACTAGCTCTCCGTGGGGTTACGGTTATGAAAGGAGAGGAGAGCATTTGTCCCATCCGTCTGGCAATCAGTAGTTAATTGATACGTTGAACTTTATTGCCATGTGTAACCGGTCCATGTACTGGTACAATGGAATTCTTACTTACAGAAAGTCTCTCGATTGTTAAAACAAGTGTAAAAACACAAAGTGCAGACAGCGCAACGAGACAATATACAAACAGACAGTAGACAATGTACAAGTAAACAGTTTGAATGTGGATATTATCCAGCCGTTTCTTGGAAGAAGCCAAGGTGTCAGCTCCAAGAACCTGACGGGGCCGCTTGTTCCACACCCCCACCACCCTCTGTGTAAAGAGGGTTGGGGGAGTGTGGAAGCTCCTGTTCTCGGTTTTGAGTCCACTATAGTGATGGAAGTCCGGCCCGTGCTTCTCAAAGGAACCACGCCGTCTCGGTGTCTTGGCGAGGGTCCAAACTCAAAACGCCCATCCTGGCCTGACGCCTGAAATCCTGGGTAACAGCCGTTCTCTTCTCTGTGCTGCTCAGCTGCTGCTGGAGCACCAGGACGCCCTCTGCCCCGACCCCGACGACCCCCTGCGGGAGCTCTTGCGTGACCTGGGAGAAGTGCCTTCCATCTCGGCGCTCGTCGGTGAGCAGCCCCGCCCTGCGGCCGTCTCTCCCCCGGGGCAGCCCGGCCACGCCCGCGTCGGCTCTTCGGGAAACGCCTCGGAACGCCAGAGCAGGGTTTCTGAGCAGGTGTAGCGGTTCATTTGTTCGGTCCTGCCGGGATGCAGTGTTCAAGAGCTGCTCACGGCTTGCCTGAGCCACGTTCGTGCCTAACTTAAGCAAAACTATATTGGTCCAGGTCTTCAGAAGCCGCTCAAATTATGAGATTCTGTAGATTCAAGATTGTGGGAGACTGAGACTTTACCTAATCCAGGCCACTGCCCTGTGTCCAAAACCCATATTTTTTCCCATTCGTGCACATAATATTGTTACTGAAATAAATCCCCAGTTAGATTTTTAGGGTTAAGCTTAGTGGAAGCTACCGGCTTAAAGATCTTCACACACTCCTTCACTTCCAGCAGGGGCAGCTGGTTTCTGGTTTGGGGGAATTGGTGGTGGTGTTGATTGTGGCTCTTGGTTTCTGTGGCTTGGCACAGGAGAGGGTGCAGCAAGCTCTGGAGATCCTGGCGCGGAGCAGACCCTGGCTCAGTACAGCAAGATGGAAGTATCTCTCACTCTCACCAGCAAATTTGACATCTTCAAGAGCACCGATGACCAGCCAGATGTTCGAGGCCTCCTGCTGAGGTGAGGAGAAAGGGCTGTAAGCTGAGACACAAGAGGAGGCAGTGTGGGGTTAGTGGTGAGAGCCGAGGCACTTGAGAGAAGAGAGACTATTCCTATGGACTATGAGAGGCAGTGTTGGTTCGAGATCTGTTTTTGAAGCGCTGGCCTCTGCACTGAAAGTATGAGCAAGTGTTCAAAAGTGCTGCCTTTGTCTCGGTCACAGCACCAAGCAGCTGATCATTGATGTGATCAGGACGCAGCCTGGGGACACCCTGACTGAGGTGCTCCGAGCCTCTGCTTCCAGAGACCAGGTGAGGACTGTGCCCCCTCTCCATTCTCTATCCCCTTAGCCTTCTGACAAACTTCCCAGCACGGGAGCTATCAGCTGTCTCTTCCACGCCTCTTCTCGGCTTTAAACTAGAGAAGAGGGATTGAGGCTCTCAGTCCCGACTGAATTATTGTGGGTTCACCTTGCAGCTGACTCTGGTCCGGCCGTGAGCCAGATTGATGTCTTAAAATCGACTTGGTTTACGTTTTGTTTTTAGAGCAACAGCTCTTCATTTGCCTCATTGATACATTTCTCTTGCTCTTTTATAAAGAAATGACTCTCAGCTCTCATGTTTTTTAAAAACATGCCTGGGATTTTGCCATGTTAAAGCTTCATAGAGCTGTCTGCAGTTCCCAAAGAGCTTTGCAATTAGGAGGCACCACTGAAAGACAGGTTCAGCTGAGCCAGTACACAGCAGGTCAGGTGGGGACGTGAGACAATGCTTTACCAGGTGAATTTAGGGGAAGTTTTAGGTTGATCAGCTTGTTCAAGCCCAAAGTGGACTCAGATCAGATCACTTTATTAGCCCTATACAATTTCTTGCATTAGGAATTCATCTTTTCGCATACCCCAACTTGCTCTCCATGAGGCACACAAACAGGGAGAGAAGCTTCAGGGTCAGAGCGCAGTGTCAGCCATTGTACAGCGCCCCTGGAGCAGCTGGGGTTAAGGGCCTTGCTCGGGGGCCCAATGGAGTAGGATTCCTCTGCCGGCTGTGGGATTTGAACCGGCAACCTTCCAGCCCCAGAGCCACCGCTCCGCCCCAGGGCACTGGGATTAACACCCCCTCTCCTGGGGTCAGGGCCATGAGATGACCAGCTAGTGAGGTCCTCTGCTTCTCTGGTCTAAAGAGGGGCCCAGCATTGCAGCCCTCTATTGTCTTTAACTCTGGCCTTGGAGAACTACGGTCCTGCAGGGTTTGTAAGTGATCTTAAAGGGTCAGTAAGCAGACTTGCCCCTCCTCCTCTCTCCCAGGAGGTGCAGCACTGCCGGATGATGCAGAAGCGCGCCCAGCGCGACGCCCACACCCCCGAAAAGATGAAGCGCAACCAGTCCCTCATCGCCGACGGCAACCTGTCGCTGGAGGAGAAGAAGAGGAAGATCCTGCGCAGCCTGAGGAGGCTTGAGACTCTAGGAGTGCTGACGCCTCCCAACACCGAGACTCAGATACTGGCGCTGATCGCCAAGGTAACGCGCAGTGGCTCGGGTACTGGCGCCGATCGCCAAGGTAACGCGCAGTGACTGGGGTATTGGCGCCGATCGCCACGGTAACGTTCCAGTTGCCAAGTCTTCAGGTCCCATTATTGATAACTGGTGACTCATTCCAAGACACAGAAACTACACCCAGAACCACCCACACAGTCCCACAGGAAGAGAGCCATTTCTTTTTGCCACGACGAGTAAAATCCTGCGATTCTGGCTGTCGTGTCCCCGACCCCTTAGGACATCCGGAACCAGCGGCGGTACCGCCAGCGCAGGCAGGCCGAACTGCTGAAGCTGAGGCAGACCCTGCACAGCCTGGACTGCAAGAGCCGCTTCCACCACGAGCAGATCGACTACTACAGCCAGTACATCCGGACCAGCCTGGCCAACCTGACGGCCGGGGACAGGTGCGGCGCGGGACGGGGGGCCCGCACAGAGCGGAGCAGAGAGGGAGGGAAGAGGGAAAGGACGGGAGAACGAGAGTAAAACCATTGGATCCGTCTTGAAATTGTGCAGCTGGCAAAACTGGGCCTAAAAACCACACACTCTGTTGGGTTGTTTTTAAAGAAACAGTCCGGTTCCACGATGTTGTTGTGGTGATTATTATAAACCACCCCTCCTCGCCTTGGCTGCCTCAGCCGAGACGGGCTTCGTGGGATGCGGGGCTCGTATGTGTGTGTGGTTGTGTGTGTGTGTGTGTGCGCGTGTGTGTGTGCTTTCTGCGGGCCTGACTCCTGGCCGCCTGTGTCCCAGCAGAGGGAAGGGAAAGAAGCCCGCAGACCGCAGGGGGAAGAGGGCCAAGCCCACAGCTCTGATCTACACCGCGGCCCAGCTGCACGAGAAGGGCGTCCTGCTGGAGATCGAGGACCTGCCCCTCGCCCAGTGAGCTCCCGCCTCTTTAAGCGCTTTGAGAAGCCGCCTTGAAAGGCGCTATATAAAATACGTTTATTATATTATTGTCTCTTTGAACCTGTGAGGTCAAACGAAAACCTGCACTGAACACCTTTTCCTGTTTAACGATTTATTAATTGATGTTTAAGAATATGACGACGTAAGACTTTATTACCCCCGGGGGGGGCAGATGTTTTACAGCAGCAGTGTTGGTGGACAGACAGAAGAAAAAAATCTGACAAGAACAACAATATACATACTTATACATATTTACATAGAAGGTCAAGAGTTCAGTGAGGATATGGCTCCAGGTATGAATGAGAACTGGAATCTGTTGGTTTTGGAGTTGGGGGGTCGGTATCTGCGTTCTGATGGGAGCAAACAAGGGGGGTGAAGGATCATCAAAGACGGATTTTGCTTTTCGCAAAACGCGTGTTTGATAGACAGAGGAGAGGGCTGGGAGATCAGCACCAGTGACCTTCTGACAGATTTTCACCAGGCTGCCCAGTTTGTTCTGATCTGTACCTCAGATTCAGGTGCCCAAACCAGCAGGTCAGGGTAAAAGTGAGAGCAGCTTCAAGGAAGCCCCGCGGAGGCCACAGGGCCCATCCACCTTGACTCATCCCAGCATGCCATCCCGCCGTTTCTCAGTAGAAACCAGGGTGTCGCGGCAGCTTGTTCCCCACTCCCACGCGCGGCCTCCTCTGCCGGGCTGGTGACGTGAGGGCTGTGGTGTCTCTCGTGCAGGTTCAAGAACGTGATCTTCGACATCGTGCCCTGCGAGGAGGTGGGCACCTTCCTGGTGAAAGCCCGCTTCATGGGCGTGGACATGGAGCGGTTCCCCCTGAAGTACCAGGTGCGTCCCGTGTGTCCGCGGGGGGCACTGTGCCCGCCTGTGTCTCGATGTGGTGAGGGCACCTGATAACAGCCAGCATGGCACACCTGCCAGGTTGACTTTGGCCCGATTTGTCCACGTGGCCATTTGACCCAACACCTCCAGTTATGGAGTCACCTGGCCGGCACAGCGCCAGCTCCAGGCTTCCCGAGTTCACGCCCAGCCCTTCCGGTGTGTGAGCGCCGCTGTGCCCTCTAACTCCCACCTGTCGTCTGTTGGCACAGGACCTCCTGCAGCTGCAGTACGAGGGCGTGGCGGTGATGAAGATGTTCGACAAGGCCAAGGTCAACGTGAACCTCCTCATCTTCCTCCTGAACAAGAAGTTCTTCAAGAAGTGAGTGGCGATGAGGGGGAGAGACGGCGCCCCCCTCAGGTGCCAGTGCTGCTGAGCCCATGAACTCTGGGGTGGAGTCAAGCAAAGTACCCTTGACCTTTTTTATTTTTGCACTTGTTCTGTTGTCTGATTTTAGATTTCCAGTATCCCTGTTCATGGCGAGGGGATACCAGGGCAGTACTCAGTTTTCGGTACATTATATCTGTTTTATAGCTGCAAGCAGAGCCATAATCATGTTTTTTTTTTCAGTTTCATAATCAATGCAAACAAAATCGTCCTCTTACAATATGAAAGTTAACACACCTAAGGGAGCTTGTAAGAATCCTGAAGGATTTGTGACACTGTGCAACACAGTGTTGACCCCTCATGAGGAACTATGTTCCAGCAGACAGATGTTAGATCCAGGCTCTGTGCATATTATAGTAACTATAATAATTATAGAGGAGCTATAATAATTATAGAGGAGCTATAATGCGTTGTTGCGTCACAAATCCAGAACTAAGTCCGCAAAATGAGCTGGGTCTCGTTGCGGCGCTGCGGTCCCCTGCAGTGACCCGGCCAGGCCACTGGGCGGCAGCAGTGGACCAGTCGAGAGCCCGCCGCAGTCAACAGCCCGTCGTGCCGTAGTTGCCGATCTTGATGCGCCTGGAGGCGAAGGTGCTACTCTGTAACTGCACTTAAAAACCCATATTCACAGATAACCGAAACAATGTATTAAAATACCGACTCTGGTCGAATCTGCATGAACAAGTCGTCGC